ATGTAAGTTTGATATTAATCCGAAACACACAAATAATATATGAGATAGTATATGAGTTATGTCAGCCCAAACTCGACTCACATGACCCGATTGCAAGTCCTAACAGCTTGATTGGAATTTATCGATTTTTTTATTTCGACTATTTGACAATAAAAAACACATTCTATATTATATTTCTCTCAACCAATGTTAATTATAAAACAAAATTGATCTTCAATATCACATCAAATGTCAACCTAACTCCTTAAATCAAGGCTACAATTCTTAAAATTAGCACTTCCATGCATGACTCGAAAATATCAAAATTTATGAGTTCGTGACATACCATTTGAATATTTTTGAGGTTGTCAATGAAAATGAAAAAAAAAAAATTCAAATCCAATACTAACAAACCAAGATATTTGTCTTTTAGGCTACGAGGCAGAAACTTCGGTACATACGCGTGTTTTCATATTTCGGAAACGTTTCGGATATCGAGACACCATGATACTTGTTGGAAATCTTTCAGTGCAGTTTCCGTAAATGTTTAAAAATTTTGGAATGTTTCTTGTAATAATAAAAAAAAATAGAAACGCGTTTCCGCCTCCAAAAAAACCAAAACCCGTTTTCAATAAAGACTATGAATCTTAAATTTTATGTCCATTTTTCACTTTTAGTAGTCTTTTAATATTTTTTAGATGCTAATTCAATACTAAAATAAATTTATATGCCTAGTATATAATGTATCTAATGATAGTACCGATTGAAACTTGTAAATTATACATAATTTGGATATACAAATATATAACTGATGAGAAAAGTGTATAAGTTTACATTTATAATATTGTTTTAGAAATTATGAATGTAGCCCTATATTTTTAATATTTACACATTTCTTTCATGTTCTCGTATCTATTTCTTTTTTAAAATAGGGTTTCCCCGTGTCCGCGAGTTCGTGCTAGTGTACATTGACCAAATTGTAAAATTATACAAGCTACGTGTACGGTGTACGTATAAAATTGATAGAATTCAAAATATTCTTTGTGCAATGATTTAAAAAAATAAAAAAGAATTAGGGTCCATTAGATATACACCCCTCATATGGAAAATAAATAGGGATAGGTCCACCCCTAAAATTCTTTCTTTGAGATAACCCCCTAGAGAGGGAAAAGTACTATTGTGCCCTTATTTACAATTTTCGCCCAATTGCATTCAGCATTTTTGCTACTGCATTTAGTATTTTCGTTTTTTTTTTTTTTAGCTTTTTTTTTCTGATTTTTTTTCCCTGAAAACTTCTCTGTTTCGAATATGACTATATAATATATATGACTATATAAGTTTTTTTTTTTTTTTTCTTTTTAGCTTTTCTTTTTTTCTGATTTTTTTTTTCCCGAAAACTTCACTGTTTCGGATATGACTATATATGATTATATAAGACTATAGTCATGTACTGTCTTTTTACCCAAAGTTATGGTCGACCGATTATATATATCGCTGATTTTATAAAAAAAAAATTCATCTACATCTCCAACAAAATTCAAAATTTGAATAATGATATTATAGATCAATTCGCACCCAACAAAAAATTGAAAAAATGCAATCATCAACATCACTATACATCAGAATCACCACATAACTTATATATGACTATATATAACTACATGTGAATATATATGACTATATCTATATGACAATATGTGACTATATATGACTACATGTGACTAAATATAACTACATGTATATGACTACATGTGACTATATATGACTACATGTATATGACTACATGTGACTATATATGACTACATGTATATGACTACATGTGACTATATATGACTACATGTATATGACTACATGTGACTATCTATAAAAGTATAGTCATATATAGTGTAGTTTGTATTTATAGCTTCAAATCCCACTTTTCAACACGACAGCAACTCCGATCTATCGCAAAAGAACTATTTTGAATTGACGAACACCATGTCCTCTCGACAAAAAAATAGTGCTAGAAGTTGTTTAAACACCGAGACCTGTAACAAAAAATCAAGTTCAGTTTACATATTTACATTATAAATCAACTCATAGCCAATAAAAACAAATCAAATACACAGTCACATGCAAATGTTACTAAATGTTACTATATGTTACTATATATTACTACATGTATTTACATGTGCTGGATCATTAAGACGTGGAATCAACGAATTCATACATCTATAATCTATCTAAATAAGATGATATATTGCTCTCAATCTTGGACTGGTTTCACAATACTATCAAAATCATAACTATTAGAGATAGTTCATACATCTATCAGGCCTTTTATACATGAATTCAATGGTGACAAATACTAGCACAAAAACATTGAGTGGATATCATCGGTTGGGGAAAATTCACACAAACTACATCATATCATTAACCATTAACCATTAACCATTAACCAGAGTAATTAAATTATGTCAAATCTATGTAAATTGTTAATCATAAGTAAATGATTTAGTAACTAAATTACTTAATTATGTAATTGAATGGGTCACCCGGATTTCACCTACTAAGCCTCTCGAAGTATCTAGGACCAGGTTCGAATCCTTCCACATGGCACACAAGGTTCCAGTTGGGACACTCCTTACGTCCCTACAAAAACGTTCAAGTGAGTTTTAATTTTAATTTATTTATTTACTTTTAGTTTATATATTGTTTGACTCAAATGAATTTCAAAATAATTTT